TCCTCAGTGCGGGTGTATGAGTCACTGAGATGTAACATCTTCTGTCACTGTTCTGTATATTCTTGAGCTTGGTAAGACAGTCATTCATTGTTCAGAGCTGTGTGCAGAAGCCTTCATAAGTTAAGTCTTCATCTACACTTACAAGAGCCTGTAAGAGTTTGAAAGTCAATGTCTTCTTGAGCATGCTAATCTTCATTTGATTCTCTTAAGACTGATCATCTGCTTCTAGAATCTTGATGTTGAAGTCAGGGATAAATGTTGTAAGAGAAGTGTTTCTCTGTCAGATGCTCTGTAATCAATCTAATACTTTCTGTTGCATGGCAGTGTCTTGAAACAGAACATCAAGATGTTTCATAATGTTGTCAGGTGTTTGTAATACTGGTTTGCATGCTTTCATTCATGAATGAAACTTCTGTTTTGCACGATTCTTCAATCATTCATTGATATATCAATCTTGATTGATTAATGAACTGATGAAATCTCCATCTACACTCAGTTTTGCAAGCATTTCCATTCTTCATGATGAGTAGAGAGTGAGATTGAAAGTATTGAAATATACAGAGGTATCTAAGCATTCTTTCAGTGCTTTTGTATTCAATTCTGTAAATGTTGAGATTGTGTGAGTTTCTTGTTGTGATAATCATTGAATCTCTTCATATTGATGTTGTTGAGTTGCATGCATATCAGCTATTTATTGTTATTGTAGTTTCAACATTGCTCAGAGCCACTGTGGCACTGTATCTATGTTCATGTTCAAGGGTTTCATATTATTGTTAGACATGATTATATCAATTGTTGAATGTATGATATCTATGAGATCTGAAGAAGTGTAATTGTATTTTTATACATCTGAGTATCAGAACTCTCAGGTCTTTTGCTGATGTTCTCTTGTAAGATCTTATTCTCTTTGTAAGATCTTGTTGCAGGGTCAGGGTGACTGATGAGCAAGCTTCTATTTGAGAACTATCTGAGGACTCAGTGTTCACTTAACTGTTTGACTGTTTCTCTATTTCTTACATGTCATTACACATTCAGATATCTCTCAATGAATAATCATTTCTAATAAGAAGACAATGAACATTTTTATAGTGTAAGAGGCCTGCACTGAATAGATTGGTATAATATTATAGATCTTATATAACAAAGATAAAAATGTTAGAGAAGGAAAGAAAGAGAAAGTGCGAGAATCAGTGATTGAGATGGATATTTATACATGTATGTGGTGGTGTATGTGGTGGAGCTTCAGGGTGGAAGAATATACGCGCGTTTGTAGTGGCCGAGGATCAGTGATTGGGAATGACTGAGAATCGGAGCATACACTACGCGCGTTCGTAGCAGCCGCAGATCAGTGATCAGAAGTGGCTGAGAATCGGAGTGTACGCTACGCGCGTTCGTAGCGGCCGCGGATCGGCGATCGGGAATGGAAGAATCTATGAAGTGTAATGGAATAGTCTATATGATTGATCGGGCGCAGCCCGCCACACAGTGAAATATAATTCTCTAGTAAATAATAATCTTTAATAATACTTTATATCATATAGAACTATAACACTAACTTTAAAACAGAACTTATATACATTGATTACAACTGAAAATCAGATAAAACTATAAACTTATAAAACTGAATTTAACTACTATCTTCAAGATGATTTAATAAATTTATATATTAAATCAATTCTAGAGTTATAAAACATTATTGAGAGTATATATTCAACTATTACACTGATAATATATAATATTCTAACAATTTCATTGACAGAGATAACAATGAAGTGAAAGTTTAACTTAAGCTAAGATATTTATTACTATTATCAGAGACAATTATAAGAAAAAATAATCAAGAAACTCATGATTGTAAAATATGAAATTATTAAATAGTTTAATATCTCTGATCACAGTATATCAGAGAAGTGTAGTTTTCATAAGAAAGTAAAGAATAAACTTATACAAGAATATATTTAGTTATTTTATAAGTGTTATTAATAATTGTTATCAAATTCTGATTATATAAGTAATCACTGAATGAACTGAATAAGACTGAATTTAATCTTCAGTTTCAGTCTTATTCTGATTTTAAAAGAATAATTATCTTTTATAGTTTATTCTGAGAAATTACTTTCATTTCACTGTTCTTGCATTAAATCTAGTCATTTTTCATGTTATTTCTCTTAGAAATGATTCATTTTCAGATTTTTTTAATGCTTGATTCTAGTGAAACTTATATCAAGAAATGTATGAGATCAGATTAAATGAAATTAAATGTGAAATTCATGATCTCATCAGTCAGTCTAATCAGAAATAGACTACATAATCACGAACACTAGTAACACACTAATCTGCATGAAGTTAGAGTGTACATTATAATCATATAGATATAACTGAATCTGATAAGAGAGAATATAGTCTGAAAGAATATATAACTACTGAATAATAATACAGCTGCTTCTGAATATACTTATACTTCTGAACATGCTTATGAATGTAAAGAGATCATAGCAGTCACTAATTAATTTAGTATAATGTATATAAGAAGTCAGTATATATCTGTAATTATACGCTGACTCAAGCAATCTTTGAATCACATCTAGACTGACCGTGTGACCGTGTCTGAGACCAGGATCAGATTTTTTGATAGTCTCATTATCAATTCAACTGATCTCATTACACAGTTTTAACATTAGATAGTAGTCTCATACTGTCTCAGTGAGACTTACTGTCTACTCTTATCACATTTTTTAAATGAGATCATGATTTTCACTTCTCAATTTAAATTATTTTTATTGCTTTAAATGACTTTAAATCTCATTTGAGCATTACCAAAAAGTGTTACTTTTTAAAAAATTAAAAATAGTCTAAAAAAAACCTTAAAATGTCTAAAAATAGTAACTTTATGTCAAGAATGAGACTAAATGAAATTAAATGAAATCACTTTCTTATTTTTTTCAAGTCATGATTTCATTTTAAGATCTGATATATAGTCACTTTACATGTTTTTTTAATAGCTAGTCCCAGCGGGATTCACATCAAGAAATGTATGGAATCAGATCAAATGAAATCAAATGTGAAATTCATGATCTCAGCGGCCAGTCTAATGACATCTGATATATAAGCTTATTTATACTCATGAGATTCACTTCTAACTTCAGAATATAACAGATATTATTTAACAGTATATTCATTTCTTTCACTGAAATCTTTGTATCTTTTATAGCTGTAGCTTCAATCTTATATTTCAGATAAATATAATCAGTTCTAATAATAATTAATTATTCAATAAAAGCTCTGTCAGATTCTTTGCTTTTAAAGATTATTTTAATAAGCTCTTTAAATAAATAAGTTCTGTATATAGCAGATCTCTCAGAAAAGTTATTCTCTATAATAGTTTATAAAATATAAGCTGATAATTTGAACTTCTTAAGTATAGTGAAATAAGTCTTGATCTGCAGAATAATTACAGATTATATATAATTATATAATTAAAGATTATATTCTTTTCAGAAATATTATATATTCATAGTAATATTCTTACTAAGATTATTATTTTTAAGAATATTATCAGTTTCAGACTATTCTATAGTTAAAAGAATTTTCTCTCTTTATATTAAGTAGTTAATAAATTTAGTGAGAACTATTAATCTTTTGATAAGTCTTACTTATCTTCTGAATTCTTCAAGAACTTTTATTATAATAGATATCTTCTCTTTTCACTGCAGATATTCTATTAGATTCACTCTTATCTTATTACTTATAAGAATCTCATTTCTACTGATCTTTATTCACTCAATCTCATACTGAAGTCTTGTAATTTCAAGTCTTATATAAGTCTTCTTACTTACTGAGCTATTGTTATTCCAGTCACTTGAGCTCTCTATATTATCTGACATATCACTGATATCTTCAACTGAGTCTTTATATTTATTGTTGAACTTGTCAGATTATTCTTTTATAATTATGTTATTCATCTCATAAGCTTCTGAAGCAGTCACTTTTCAGTTCATTACAGACATTGATAAGTCTACACTCAATTCTTCTTATGCTTCAGATGTTTGTGGATTTCTTCTTCTATATGTTAGCATATAATCCTTTGTTAAGTCAGGCTTTTCACCTGATCTCAGGTTCATCATGAGTTCAATTAATCAATAAATCATCTAGGCACACTTGTAATGATGTGTGGAGATGTCAATTTAGCATGTTGTTGCAGTTATTCATTAGCTTGTAAAAGGGCTTCATAACCTCTTGGAGGATAATGTTGTTCTTGTGTGTGTAATCTATCTACGTGAGTTACACTAAATAGGTTGGGGTGGCATGTGACTAGGGTAGGTGTAGTAATCACCAACAGAACCCCATATGGAAGTCAAAGAATTTGAAGGAACTGTAAAACTATCTCCGCATGCAAGTCAACCACATAGAAAGAGGAAGTGCCCGAAAATTACTCTCTCAATTTCGCTTAGCTAGGAGCCCGGAAGGAGCTAGAAGAACATAAGGTTGCCATGCCGTGCATTGAAGAAAGTCAAAATATAGAATATAGGCCCGGGAATGAAATATACCAGAAAATACCTCGTCATCGATGTTAAGAAACCCTTGGAAAGAAGAGGTATATATACCCAAATATACGCATGTATAAAGTAAAATAAATGACTAGATTTTAAGTGTAAGAGAAAAGAAATCGATGACCGGCGCCTTTTATCCCCTTTTGTATATACAGTACCTTATCCAATCAGAACAGGCCAAAAAAAGGCGCGAAATCAAATCCCGAAAAGTTAATGCCTAAATCCAGAATCCAGTTCTGAGCAATGTACTAAAAAGATCGATAGACAAGATAGCAAACAAGACAGAAGGAAAGAAAACAAAAAAAGAAAACAAAGGAGGAGAAAAAGAAACAGAGAAAGAAAGAAAGAAAGAAAAAGAGAAAAGAAAAGAAAAGAAAGATAAAATAGGATAGATAAATAGGTCGTTAGGAGTAAATGATCATGAAGAGATATTAAAAAATAAAGAGGTAATTAAGCCCATTTCCCCAACAAGGCCATCAGCGCCGCGCCCAGGCAGAGCAGTCCAAACGCAGCCAGAACCTTCCGAATGGGAGCCCGCCGCATCGACGGGCTGAACATAAACTCATGTGCCATCAATTCCACCAGGGCAGTGTATATCAGAATGCCCGCAGATATCGAATCGAAGACGCCATTTACGATCAGCGTCGTCCGGCCCTCGGGTGGGTACGACTCGCGAACACCAAGGCCAATGGCAATTGAGATTGGAGTAGATAGGCCGAAGACAATTGCAAGCATGTATGGTGTTAGCCGCTTGGAGCGCGGCCAGGGGACGGTCGCCAGGCGGGAGCCTAGACCTAGGCCTTCGAATGTCTGGTGGAAGACCAGCACCACGTAAAGGGTTATGAATTCTTCGCCTGCGACGGCGAGGGTGAGGCCGATGAAGATTGAGTGGAAGATTATGCCGAATTCGAGGATGAAGATGGAAGTTAGCTGCGCGCTGTAGTCTTCTACGAGGGAGGAGAGGGTATGGCCATGGTGGTGATGGTGATGGTGGTGATCATGGCCGTGAACGTGGTTGTGGGGCGATGGTTTTTCATCAGCAGCGGGAGTGTGACAATGATTGTTGGAGGATATGTCTGACGGGAGATCGCGACTGTGGCCCGAATGATCCTCGCTAGGGACATGGGTTCTGTGTTCGGAATGTATGGACGAAATTTCACACTGGTGGTCATGGGTATGTGAGTGAACAAGGGTGGTGCAGAGGACGTTGTCGTTACCATGGCTGTGGTTGTGGCTGTGGCTGTGGGGTTGGTCGTGCTTGTAGGAACCATCTTCAATCTCCCTGGCAATATCTGCATCTCCAAAGCGAGCGAATCGGATGACCATAAGTTCGATGAAGAAAAGGAGGACAATCGTCATGAGCATGATCCCTTCCACCCAGGGATATTCTGTAATTGGCCCGGTTAGGCAGGGGTTGCTCAACGCTTCGTGGGCAGGCGCAAGGAGGTGGATGAATGCGGTAGCCACAATAACACCCGAGCCGAAGTACTTTGCCACGAAAAAAGCCCATGGAGGAACGTTCATACGCCGTTTCCCATCCCTCACGGCGCCGGGACGAGCCCAAACAGGGAATAAAGCGCCGAGAGAAGAGCCGACCAAGATCACAAACACGGCGGATACACGCAGGCCCATACGGCCATCATACTCGTTTCCCGTAGCACAGGCATCGGCAGCACTCCCTTCTTCAGCGCGGGGTAGGAGAACTGTGAGATGGGCGGGATCCAGCATGGCGAATTGCAGGCCAGGAGGAGGACAAGGTGGGTGCACGGCGAGAGTGATCAGAGGCGAGGATAAGGATCGAATATACTCCGTATCTAGGAGGAGGATTCCAAAGCATCAACGGACGAGACGAGACGAGCAGCGGAAGAAGAAGGGCAGACAGAGACACAGACAGAGTGCGCGCACATAAAGAAGGGTCTCAGATAGACAATTGTATGAAATGCCCTAACCTAATTGTGATCTGTGCCAGGTTACAGGTTACATGTACCTGTACCCGCAGCAATGCAGCGCTCTCACTGCAGGCGGCGGCGGCAGCGTCCGGCGTGCAAAATTCAAAATTCGATCTCTGTGGTGGTACGGGTACGTATCGGGGACCTTGGGAGATGCTGTGAGGACCTTGCAGGCACGGCGCTGACTGCTGACTCATCTGCGTCTGTGGCCGCTGATTGGCCAGAGTGTGCTGAGTCACCCCACCGCTCGTGCTGCCCCCTTTTTGGCCAAGTCAGCTCTAACTGGTCGGACACGGCTGACGACGGAACATTGGATCAATTTATAGGGAAAAAAGAACAAAAGAAGAGAAAAATGAGTGAAAAGAGCAAAGGAAAGTAAAAGCCAAATGAAGTGAGATGTTGATGATACATAATATGCCCCATATTCCATCGATAGGATTGAAATATATGGGAGAAATTGGAGAAATGGGCCCAACATCCAGTTCAGATCCCCAATATAGCGCCCGCCTCTCCAAGTCGCGATGCGGACTTTTGGGCTTCATCCGCAGATTTCTCCTGAGCTGAACCCCACTGCTTGCTTTCTGCATCCTTCTTGTCTTCGTCCAAATCCTCCTCCTCTTCGTCCTCCTCTTCTCCCTCTTCTCCATCGGCCATTTCGGCCACTAACCCCGAATATAGCACATATCCCACAAACACGCCTAGGCCAGCCAACACTGTCGCTATCGATGTATATAGCTCTCTCCGCTGTATCGTGGCCACTTTCGTCACTAACTCCTTCTCCTCACTATCCCCCTCCGCCTCCGCTCCCGCCCGTTGCAATCTGGCGTTGGTTCTAATCTGCCGCACAATCGGAATCGAATCCGCAATGCCTTCCAGGGCTCGCCTTCCTACTGCTGCAAAGCTAACTTGCTCCGGAGATCGCCACGGCAAACTAGAGGCGAGCGCTGGGCTATCCGTGAAAGCTATGGAAACCTCTATAGGTACCGCTCCGAAACACCGTGACCGCAACTGGTCTGCGTAGGCTGCTAATCGCGGAGCTTGTCCTGTGGCAGCATCCCGCAACCACGGGTACGGAAGCTTTGGAACTAGGGCCAGTGAGAGATAGCCCAATGCCAAACAGTCTAGGGTCGACGGAATTTCCGATGATAGCAGATACCCTTTCCGTCCTAGAAGTTCTTCTAAGGGTGCCACAAATGCCCCGGTTATACCCTCGAGTCGTATCCGGTTTCGTTTTGACGTTTTGCTCAGTATATCACTCACTGTCGCCTGAGGCTTGCGCACAAGACCTTTCGGGATCTTGTTTGCTAGGTTGCTGGGATCCCGCGCCTGTTGTCGCTCCTCTTCTACCATTACATCTAGATCAAGTGATGTAAGCCCAAGATGTTCCGTCCGTTTCTTTGCCGTTGTTCGAATTTGTGGCGGCATTATCCATTGGTTAGGCCATTGGAGAAGTGTTGCATATGCTAGCGAAGTTACATTATTGTAATTCTCACTCGACACGTAAAGAGACAGGTCAATGAGGGGCTGGCCTTGGGATTCGAGAAAGGATGAAAATCTGTCCTCATTACTTTTAGATACTGTAATACAATCTTTTTTTGTTTTTGTTTTTTTTTTTTTGTAAGATTGGGTGGAAGCATGCACTTACGCTATGCAATCTGCCCTCTCTTTTTGACCCATCCACCGATCCAAGTCCCATTCTCCGTTGGAGTATTGGCTCAGATACGCTACGATATTCCTGAACCGACTGATCCATCTCGTTCCCGTCCATAATGCTGGTAATTCATCTGCAGATTCATCGTAAATAATTAGCATCCCGTATTCTGGTATAAGCAGCAGTTTGAAAATAGCCAAATCCAAATATGAAGAAGCACCAACTGGCCTAAGAAGGCGAAGAAGACGGACAGCCGCCATAAAAGCTTAGCAAATGCAATGACCATACTATTACTCACTGGTAGGGACCATCCCAGGATCATTATCTGCCACCAACACCCATTGTTCCAGCTCTCCGTCGGGACCCCTTTCCTTCGCCGGCACAGCTAAAGCAAAGTACGCAACAATGGCAATACATTGTGGGTCGATTGAAGGCAGCCCAAATGCCGGACCCCAAATGTGTAGTTCGAATACCATAGTTTATTTCCTTCTTCCTTCCACAAATACCCTTGTTTTATTTTCCTTTCCTCCAATCCTTGCCTGCGCGGTCTTACCGGGACTAACACCCTGCTTGATATATGGCGTTGCGGTGAGTTTGTTACGCGAAGGTTATGATACACCTATTCCAATACAGCAAGCTCTCGTTTGGTTTTGCTCGTTCTGATTGGCGCTATCCAACAATCCAATCAGTACGAATGCATATACTTAGTTAGGTATGTCGTTGAGACGGAATGGGACAGTTGAAGACGACTAGCTAGGGTGCCTCTACCTATTGTGGCGGACGTATTTATCACGACAGCTCAACAGCCTTGGAGTAACGCGCACGGTTCCATCGATCGAGCACAAAAGGTTGGCGGTCAAAAAACTAAGCCAGTAATTTTCAACAGACTCAAATTCCTCCACTGCACAGATTAATTGTTGAATTGCCCGTCGCTGGAACTCGGCATAAATCTTTGGCGCGTTGATCGGATTCGGGGAAACAGCAATTGAGTCACGTGTCTACGACAACTCAGCCACGAGAAGCTCCCGAGAAAGTACTTAGAACGAGCTCAATGTTATAAATGTTATAAATAGCGACGTCAGAGATACCCTGGATTGATGCTTCTTAGCCGTTACCCTACAGTCAACTTTTTCTACGATGCCCCCAATCAGACGGTACCTGCGCATCAGCAAATACTCTGTGCTGGAATGCAGGATATATCTTGAGAATCCTGCCGATTCACGATGGTTGCTTGACGCCCGCGACCCAGCTCTACCCCGTGTATTCAAGAGTATACAGCCTCTGATCCTCCCAAAGCTAAGGGAGGAAACTGAGCGAGCACGCGCGAAGAAGAAGTCGAAACCCGTCAAAGACGTCCTTTCGGAGGAGGGTATGGCTTAGTTTACTTTGCAAAAGACGCTTCTTGAAACTACCATGTGGTTAACAGGTCCGAGCAGATGATTTCGAAGTTTCCATCTTCCTCCGTGATAGCGGCACCAGCCACTCGCTTGTTACAAAACTAAAGTCCTTTAACGATCGACCATCCAAGATCCAGAGTAACTCAAGTAAATTACCTGGAACGGATGACTCTCCGATTCATATCGCCGATGACCCCGTGACGATACCGACTATTATACCTGAGAGTGACGAGGAGTCCCCGATCAACTTGCAAGATATACCGACAGCCACGGCCCCCGTAACTAATGAGGAAGGCGTCGACATCCAGTCATCGACAAGCCGTCGTCGACGAAGGGAGAACCGTACAGAAAATAGTGCCAATATAGAAGCCGGTAGCGTTGACGAGGACACTCATGCCACGAAGCGAAAAAAGACCTATATCGAACCTACTCCGGAACTGCAAGACGACAAGAAACTACACCTTACTACCACCTATAAAGGGTTCACAATATGGGGCAGGATATTATGCCTCCTCGTCACCAGGAAAGGCGACAGAGCGAGATCAAAACCTGATGCAGCACCAGCTGGTCAGGCATTAATGGAAGAATGGATCTCAACGCAGGCCCCGCAGGAATTCGAAGAAGCCTGAGTTCAAATGCAACTTCTGTTACCAGCGACGATTTGTATGGTTACGGCTCGGTCGTCAAACGTTGGAACCACGGCCTAACGTGAGAGTTACCCCGTTTGAAGGCGGTAGCCGAGATGGATAAACAGGTTACGGATTACCTAGTCGGCTACGTGTCTATCATCGCAAGGCAAAAAGCATTCGTCCCTTGCGTCATAAAATCGCCCCCACCCCGTGTGCCTCTGGGCCCATGTAGAATTGATTTAGTGAATCAGGGTTTAAACTTTATAGTCGAGGCCTCGTGTGACAGCAGCGTCTTCAAAATTGCGGGATTTGCAGACAATTCACATCCCTGCCTTGTGCGAATCCGGTCTTGAGCCCAGCAGCATAATAGAGGCATAAAGCAATCCACATTCAGGGATGACCCGGCAGAACGACCAAGATGCTGTACTCCCCATAAAAAGAGGAACAGGAGGCAGGCTTGGATTAAGTAATTCTGCGACTATCCGGTTTAATACATGCGCAAGCAACCAGTCATCCATTCCGTCAGTGCGAAAGCTCAGGATGGCGTCAGTAGCCATGGCTACTCACACCATTAGACGAAATTGTATGGTATCCCGGGTACCGCGCATTTACGTTTAGGTCATGGGTCTCATGCACCTGATATATTCATGTACGAGTAACTAAAACGCATAATTTCAGCCGCGCTTTCTTATTCACACCCCGACAGCTGGGATCCCCATACCCACGCTCTTACCGTGGTATGTGGCACAAATGAAACAAGGGCCGTCCCAGCCTGTAGCAGTGCATTGGGTCACTATCCCCTCGTAACAGCTCTACCGCTTTTGCGGTAAATGTCAGATGGGTTAACGAGCAGGGGCCGGGTAGCGCCTTAGCGTGGGAAACCAAGGCGTGCGGGTTTGAAACCGGCGGGGGATACGTTAAATCCGGAACCTAAGCACCTCAGGTTTCTAATAAATACAGAGGTGTACAAATCACTGCAATTGAATCACTCTATGTTCCTGGGCTGGCAACACCTGTATTTCCTCCTGTATAAGTTAGTGAGTTGCACTTGGCATAGTTAACCGTGCCATGCTTACTCACTCTCTGTAGTGAGTGCACCACAGTGTACAGAAAACCACACTGTAAAGAAAATATTTTGAATATAGTAATCTTCAAAAATTAATTAATAATCATCATCACATCTATCTATAACATAAAGATTATCTATATACTCATTAGAAGATGTAGAATTTACTGTAAGTTGAGATTCTATAGAATTATCTTATTATGATTGAGTGACTGTAGATTTTATAGATTTGATTTCAATTAATTGAAGAGTCTTATTGAATGTCTTTTTCATCTCATCTGCTCTACAGATCATGATCTTGCAATTGACATTCTTAATAGTGAGAAATTCACCTACTTATATCTGTCTGTGAAAGAATTTGATAATCTGATATCTATTTACTTGATAATAATCTGCAAGTTCATTCTCACAGTTAGACTGACTGTGTGACTGTGTCTGAGATCAGAATCAAACTTTACAGTTATTATATTATCTAAAAGCATTACTTCTGATCATGATTTGTATTCATCACATTGATCTCAAATTCTGTTATTTCAAATATTAAAGATCTCAGATTCACTTTTCAAATAAAAATCTAGTCTCAGATAAAGAATATATTTGAATTCTTAGTCATATTTTCATTCTGATCTCATTATTGAAAATAACACTAAATGAGATTATAAAATCATTTCTCACTTACATAATATTATAACATAGTACTCATTTGTTGAAAATTCAACAGAGAGTATTATTAAATATTATTACTTTTCTAAATACAGATTATAATTAATATTATTTTAATTAAAAAAAAATATAAAATATAAAAAATAACAAAAAAACAAAAAATAAAATAACAAGAAAAAATCACAATAAAAAAAGAAAAAAAAAGAGAAAGAAAGAGAAAGAAAAATAAAAAGAAAAAGAAAAGAAAAAGAAAAAAAATAAAAAATAAAAATAAAAAAAATCAAGATTACAGAGTCACAGTATTTTTAAAATACTCATTTCTCAGAGTCTTTACAATATTTATTACTAACTATGTATTTCTCACAGTAAGAGTAACACAGCTGTTATCAATTTAATCTAAGATTTGATATCATGTCTGACCCTGATATTCTGGTGGGTGATATTATAGATAAAGAAAATGAGTTTGATACTATACAGCTCATAAATATCTATAATGAAAAGTCATTGAAGGAAAATAATAATATCTGGACAATTGATAGAGGATTTCTGAACATAACTCCATCAAGAAACTCTATAATTGCAGGAGATTTCAATGCACATCATCCCTGGTGAAACTCAGAATGCAAGAGAGCAGTGAGAGCTGATAATCTGATTGAATGGACCTTTGAGTATTCAATAGATTTGATTAATAAGTCTGATCAACAAACATTCTTTAGAAAAGGCATGAAACAGAAGTCTATTATAGATCTAACCTTCATGTCACAAAATCTAATGGAAAGAAGACTTGTAAACTGGTTTATTGATTCAAATGAGACATCAGGATCAGGTCATGAGATTATTCAATTTGATATTGAACTGAGTGAAAAACAAATGAGTGAAAATCCTCTTCTCTCTAATCAGTATAACTTTGAAAAAGCTGATTGAAAAGCAGTTGAAGAAAGCATAAAACTGCTAAAATCTGAAAGACAGAATGAGCTATATTGAAATTCTGGTCAAGATATCTCAAATGAAATGCTTGAGAATAGAGTGAAGCTTATTACATCTATTATTCTAACAAGTGTTAGAGATAATATTTCAAAAAGAAAATCTTCTGAGTATTCAAAACCTTGGTGGAATGAGAATATCTCATCTAAAAGGAAAGAATTAGCTACTGCTAGAAGAGATTGGAAAAATGATGTAATATCTGATGAAGAGTTCAAAGCTGTCAGAAATGAATATTTTTCAGATATCAAAAGAGCTAAAACAGACTGCTGGAATAAATTTCTTGAAGAAGCACAAGGGAAGGAAATTTTTAAAGCTTTTAACTATACTAAAACAAGAAGTGTAGCAAAACTTCCAGTCTTAGAATATGAGTTTCAGAATGAATCATATACAGCAAACTCTTTTGAGGAAAAATGTCAAGCTTTCATGAGAATTCTCTTTCAGAACTCATCAGACTCAGATTCAGATTCAGAGGAAGAGAATATATCACTTCTCAACTATATTGATGAAAATGACTGGGAATGGCCTGATCTTACACAAGATGAATTAGAGTCAGCTATCTTCTCAAGTTCTGTTAAAACTGCTGCAGGTCCTGATTCAATTAATCACTTGATTATTCAAAATACATATTCCTACTTAAAGAATGAATATTTTGAGCTCTTTTTCAATCTCTTGAAAAATGGATATCATCCTGAATGCTGGAGAGAAGCCACTGGAGTGATTCTTGCAAAACCTAATAGAAAAACTTCAATTCCTAAGTCATATAGAGTAATATCTCTATTGAACTGTTTAGAAAAGGTTTTAGAAAAGATAATAGCTACTTGACTATCTTTTATAAGCTCTATAGATGATTCTCTTTTATTCAGTGAACAAATGAGAGATAGAAAACAGTGTTCTGCAATTGACACTGTTCTCTCAGTTGTTCATGATATTCAAATAGCAAAGCATGAGGGTCTGGTCTCAACTGCAGTTTTTATTGATATAAAGAGAGCATTTGATCATGTTTCAAAGTCAAAGTTAATTCAGACATTGAAGATATTAAAACTGCCACTTTCTCTAATAAAATGAGTTAACTGTTTTATATCTAAAAGAATTATACAACTCTTCTTTGATGAAATGAAATAAGACAAGACTGAGATAAAAATAGGAGTACCACAGGGATCTCCAATCTCACTCATTTTATTTGCAATATACACTGCATATCTATTCAAAAATAGAAATATGAGAATAGTGCGATCTCTGAGTTATGTGGATGATATTGGTCTAGTCTACAGCTCAAAAACTATCAAAGAGAATTTGAAAGTAATTGAAGAAGCTGCAAAGGAAATCTTTGTTAGAGCAGATATCAATCAAATTCAATTTGATATGGATAAAACTGAGTTAATTCATTTCTTTTCTAGACTCAATGAGAAAGAACTATCTCTAACTCTTTTAAATAGAGAGATTAAACCCAGTGTAAATGTCAAATGATTAGGAGTATGGTTAAACTCCAAGTTGAATTTTAAATATCACATTCAATAAAGAACTGTCAAGGCAGAAAGACTATTGAACAACATAATCAGACTATCAAATACAGAGAGAGGTCTATTCTTTCAGGCTATGAGACAGTTATATATAGCCTGTATCACATCAGTAGCTGATTATGAAGTTCAAGTTTGGTGGAATAATCAAGGGAATTTCACTGAACTCTTTCAAAGTCTGCAAAACAGAGCCTTGAGAAGAATTCTGGAAGCATTCAAATCATCTCCTATTAAAGCAATGGAAATTGAAGCTTCAATTCCTCCTTCTGCTATTAGATTTGAAAAGGCCTGTATGAACTATGCTCTGAGAGTTGTAAAGATGAGCTCAAATCATATAATCAGAGAAAGAGTCTCTTCTTCATTTCCATCAATTAACTCTGGAAATGAACTGGATTGGAATAGATTTCTTGATTGAAATGAAAATAATTCTTCAAAGAAAATGCCTTCTCAACTGTACAGACTATGCTCTCTGATTAAAAATCAATTTTCTTCTTTAAATGTTGAAAAAGTTGATCATGAGAAGTTATCTCTCTGGAGAGAAAAGCTTGAATCTCTTATAGACTTACAAATAAGTGAACTATTAAAAGAGAAAGAATATGAACAGCATTTGAAGAGAATTTCTATAATCAATATAAAAGACTCTATTCTGGTTTATTCAGATGGCTCAAAAAATGAGAACTTGAATAGATTAGGCACAGGCATTGCTTATACTGAAGATAATATTAATTTTATCTCAGATTTCTGAAATCTAGGCTCTGAATGTGAAGTCTTTGATGCTGAACTATTTGCAATAGTGAAAGCTTTCAAACTCATTGAAATAAAATCTCATAAAAGAGAAAATTGTTTGAAAGAGGCATGAATATTCTCTGATAGTCAAGCTGCTTTAAAAAGACTTAGAAATAGTCAGATTCATAATAGTCAAATGAATCTTGAACTGATCTTAAACTCTGTTTTAAAAATTCAAAAGAGAAGAACATCAAAGCTGATAATTCATCTACACTGGGTTCCTGCTCACATGAATATTCATGGTAATGAATTGGCTGATTCAGCTGCAAAAAAGGGTGCAGAATTAAGCAGATCTATTCAAAAAATTGTGTCCTGGTCTTTTATAAAGAGAAAAATAAAAGAATCTTGTTTAGACAAGTGGAATGAAAGCTGGCAGAAACAAAAGAAGAGTATACATTATTCAAGATTTGAAACAAAACCCAAGTGGAAATCTTGTTCAATTAAATGTAAAAAGAAAATATTCTCATCTATAATACAGCTGAAACTAGGACATGGCTATTTCAAATCTTATATACAAAGATTTGATGATAGATTTGACTCAATAGAATGCTCATTCTGCAATACAAATGAGAATCCTGAGCATATTGTAATGCACTGTGCATTATACAATAGTCTCAGAGTCAGATTGAAAGAGAAGTATGATCTAAATCAATTAAATATGAGATTCTTATTCTCAACTGAGACAGGAATTAAATACTTAATAGACTTTCTATCAGAAACTCAAGCAGCTACAAGAAAATGGCTAAATTCAGAATTATCTGAGTATGAAGAGGAGGAAATAAATCAGATATAGTCTGTTAAAACAGCTATACACTCTCTTTTAATAATTTGTTTTGTTATAGTCTCTCTTTACTTTATCTTTTTCTTTATCTTTTTCTTTCAATTTCTTTCTATCTATTTATTTAATGTGTCTATCTTTGAGACTGTGTTCTTTTTCTCTTTTCTTTTGTCATGATATTGTCAAATGATTTCAAAGTATCAAAAGATGTTAAAACACTGCAATTTGTAAACAGTTTTTGTATTCTGGGCTGGAATTTTCTGATTTTGCATATCTGAAATTGATGAATGTATAATAGTTAACTTTACAGACATAGAAAAAACCCTGAGAACTAAAGTTCTCAGGTAGATGTCATAGTCTCTGACTGCATACATCTATAATTGAAGAATAATAATAATAATAATAATAATAGTAACACAGCTGTGATGAGTCATTATCTTAATATCATCTAATAAATAATCAGTATATATCTATATAAATGTGAATAATTAGAAAATATATACTTAAAAAGTGTGATCAGAGTGAACTCTGCTATCACTTGAATAACATCAAGAGCAGAATGCTGAAATTAATGATTTTTCTTATAAATTTTATAAACAAGACATGTGAAGATAATCTTGAGAAATATAAGATTCTCTGACTTCTGATAGAAACAGATCTTACAGAGAGACTCTATTTTCATTATATCAGAGACTGAGTGTTATTAAAAAGCATTACTTTAATACATATATACTTACTGCAGTAATTCATTCTCTGCATATATAACTGAGAGTTACAGCTTTCTCACACTGCACAGCTCTCTCTGAGATGCTGATGCTGATTTATAACTTACACAGTCTCTCAGTTCAGTATACACTATATATATACAGCTCTGTGTGCTGAGACTGTGTTGATTATTATAATCTGATATAGTACTTGCTTTTCATAAGCCATGTTTTATTTGATTGAGAGAGAGAGAGAATACAACTGCTATTTTATTTAAGAGAAAGTGAGTAATTAAATCTATAGAAGATAATTTAATTTCTTCTATATTTAAAATTTGATTAGTCTACACTCTTCAATTTAAGAGTTTCTGAGAGTGTTTTAATAGTTTTCATATCAGCTTGAAATTAGTGATTGATTGAAGAAGAGAAAAGAGAGAAGAAAGAAATGAGAATAACTTATCTTTATAATATAAAAACAGAGAATTGCTACAATCATTTATTCTAGTAACAAAGATCTGTTTTCTGCATGTATCTCTGATATAGATTATATGATAACTGTATACAAAGAATATCAACAGTGTATATATCAAATGAAGATAATATTACTATACAACACTGTAGCTGTTTCTGTACATCACTAAAAGCTGTTAATATTTTCTTTGAGTCTCTTTATATTTGATAAGTCAGTAATATATTTCAATACACTTCTTCTTTCATTATTATTATTATCATTATCATTATTATCATCATCACTATTATTATTATTATTATCATTATCATTATTATTATTATTATTATTATTATATTATTTCTGACTATCTCTTCTGCCTTCATCTCTCTTTAACACTCACTGAAACTAATTATATCATCTCTCTTCAAATATTCTGTGATTCTGTGAATTATCAAGACGCGTGAGCACTGTCACAGATTGAAGAAAGAGAAGAAGAAGATGTTTAAGTAAGAGAAGACAGATTGTAAGACATATTATAATGCCTTGAAAAGACATTATAAGAGAGTAGAATAATAACAATTTTAAGTAACACTTCTGATAGATTTAGACTGAACTAAGTATAGAAATAATGTGAATAATACTGTCTATGAGAGATTGAAGAAGAAGATAGTGAAGAGTCTTATATAGTAGCAGTGAGATTAGAAGAAGTTCTGAGAATGATTTAAGATTAAGATGAAAAAAGAGAGAGAGAAGAAGAGTGTTACTGTAAATAAGTAATAACAGAAGAAGATTAAAAGAGTGTTAAAGTAGAAGATAAAGAAGTTAAAACTGATAAGTTTTTTATTTATTAAGAGATAACAATTTTTAATAATACTTCTGTTCTCTAATTAATTAGCAGAAGCTGGCAGAGAAGAAGAGAATTGAGACCTTGTTCAGGTCTTGAATGTACTTCATGATTCAGAATATTAAGAAGACAGCTCTGCTCTCTGAGCATGTTAATCTGCTTATCACTGAAGTGAAACCTGAGACAGCAGATCAGAAAATGCAGGATTTTGAGATGCAGATTGATCTGACTGAGAGAAAGCAGCAGAAACTCTTCTCTGAGAAGATAGTGAAGAGAGATTTTAAGATGATTATCATCTCAGATGAGAAGAAGAAGAAGAAGAAGAAGAATAAGAATAGAATTATAAAGCATGATAAGAAGAATGAGAAAGAGTAGAAAGATAATAAGTAAAAAAGTGTTTTTCTTTTTATATTAGTTAGTTATAAGTTCATAATTATTAATAATTGAAATTAATTTTGAGTTTTTAAAAATTATTGTACAAGTTGTAATCAAGTCAGAAATAATATATATATATAAATATATCTATAATGTATAAGTATCAACATTTTTTCAACATTGATATTCACAATTATTAATATATTTTTAATGATATTATCTGATAACATAATTTAGTAACACTCTCTTTCACAATATTAATATATTTTAAGAAATATGATAGAGATTAATCAAGATTGTTTATTTACTTTTATACATTGATAATATTCAATCTGAGTTAGTACTAAAATTATAACTAAGCTAAGAAACAAGATTATTTTCTCTTATATTAATTCTTCTTACACACATCAGTGATCAGTTATTGAAAATAAATTATTATCTTTCTTAAATTATTATTATATCTTCTGAATTTACTTCTTTCACTTCTTTTACTTCTATTGAAGATCTATAAACTCTTTAAGAAATCACTATGAATCACAAAGTCTATTTTTATTTACAATTCAACACAGAATACTCTCTTTCAATTATAATGAATATTTACTTCATTCTTCATATCTGATTTCAGATTATGAAATTTATGAAAAACTCAATACAAATATTAAGATGAACTATGAAATAATTATCAATAGATTATATTATAGATTACTGAAGAGTCATCTCTTTACTATAATCACTATAACTTTATTTAGAAATATTTATCATAAACTGATTATAGATCTGAAGAAATTTCTCAACATCTGAAGTCATCAGAATGCAGATAATAAAAGAAAAATAATTAGAAGATTACTACTGAGCTGATAAGTTACTCTATCAGATAACAATTTTTAATAATACTAACTTTCTAATTTGAAGAAAATTATGTAAAAATAATCATATATCAGTACTCTGATTTCATAACTCTTATCTGATAACTTCTGTGAATAATTACTTTGCATGTATATATCTCTGAATCTTTCTCTTCAATCAATTGAAAACTCTGAATTCTGAACACTTCTTCAAATACTTAATTCAAATCTTCATATTTCATATCAATTCTTTCTTCAGTTCAACCTTGGGACACATTATAAAGTTAATATATAACATCTAGAATCAGAGTTGAAGAATCATTGAAGAGTGTCTCTCACAGTAGATGTATAAACTAGTATAAATAATCTTACATTTATGAGAGTTACATGTTATTATATTGATGAGAACTGAACTTATTAAGAGATATTAATTGAATTTGAATCATTGATCAGTAGTTATACTGAGAATTATATAACAGAGATATTAATGACTGTGATTAAAAATGACTATTGAAATATTAGTCTCAGTCTTCTTATAATTTCAACTGATAATACTGTGAATAACTACACTATGATAAAGAGCTTAGAGTAAAAATTAGCTTTGCATTTCTGAAATAATAAACAAGGTCATATTCTCTACATTGCTCATATGATTCAACTTATGATATAAACACTGATAAAGAATCTTAACATTAAGATGAAGAATAATGAGATGACTGATTCTTGAAATGAGAATGAGATGAAAGTAATTACTTAAGTAACTTTTATATTCACTTTATAAAAGATAATATTTTTTAACAACACTTTTTAATATTGCTTTTTGATAATGCTTTTTAATAACACTACTGTTAATTTTGAATAGATTGACTAATAATTTAAATATCACAGATTTGAAATATTCTTAATGTGATTTGTACCTTCTCTAAATAATAACAATGATTTCATAATATTTAATAAATAAATAAATCAGTCACATCACTGAATATGATACAGAATGTTAGAATATAATGAAGTTTAATATATAAGATAACTATTCAGACTCTTCAATTGTATTAGATGATTAATCATTGAGTGCAACACTCTGATCAGAAAAAGATTCAGACATTGAAACTTTCTAATATGAAGTAAACTCAGTTGAAATATATGATTGATTTACTGTTTCAGTTTTATAAGATAATAAAGACAGTCTCAATCACTTATACATTAATGCTGCAGTCAGTCTGATGAGTGTATAACAGTTTATTTACTCATGTTGAGAAGCAGTTGAATCACTTAAAAAGAAATTCAGTCTGAAATAATGCTATAGTGCAGACTATTATTACTGTAAGAAATAAACTGATATATTACTACAGCAAAACTGAACAATCTTTTGCAGAGTACTATGCTATAGCAGCTCTACTAGATCTCTCTCATCAAGTTAATATCTACACTTCTCAAGATTGAATAGAGAAGAAATGAGACTCATATGTCAAATTAGTCTGAGACTACTACAATGTCAACTATCAGAGATTTGAATGAGCAGATGTTCAAGATGTGAAGACAGTGATATACAATTCTCTAGTAAGTAATAATCTTTGATAACACTTCATATCACATAGAACTATAATACTAACTTTGAAACAGAACTTGCATACATTGATTACAACTGAAAATCAGGCAAAACTACATACTTGTAAAACTGAATTTGACTGCTATCTTCAAGATAATCTGATGAATTTACATATCAAATCAATTCTAGAGTTATGAAAAATTGTTGAGAGTATATATTTAACTGTTGCACTGATAATATATGATATTCTGACAATTTCATTGACAGAGATGAGAATGAAGTAAAAGTTTAACTCAAGTTGAGATATTTATTACTATCACTGAGAACAATTATAAGAAGAAACAATCAAGAAACTCATGATTATAAAACATAGAATTATCAGACAGTTTAATACCTCTGATCACAGTATATCAGAGAAGTGTAGTTTTCATGAGAAAGTGAAGAATAAACTTGCACAAGAATGTATTTAGTTGTTTTATGAGTGTTATTAATAATTATTATCAAATTCTGATTATATAAGTAATCACTGAATAAACTGAATGAGACTGATTTTAATCTTCAGTCTCAGTCTTATTCTGATTTTGAAAGAATGATTATCTTTCACAGTTTATTCTGAGAAATTACTCTCATTTCACTGTTCTTGAATTAAATCTGGTCATTTTTCACATCATTTCTCTCAGAAATGATTCATTTTCAGATTTTTTTAAGGCTTGGTCCTGGTGAGACTCACGCCAAGAAATGTATGAGATCAGATCAAATGAGATTAAATGTGAAATTCATAGTCTCATCAGCCAGTCTACTTACAGTGTATATTCAATTTCATCTGAATCATGCTACTCTTGAAGATCTTGTTCAACTGTCTTGTCAAATCAGATGTAAGAGTATTCTTCACATCTTCTAAGGCCTTGACTGCTTTATTGATTTAATGACATAGTTTTACAACTGTCTCTAAGAAGGTTAATTATGAGAAGACAGTTGATAATTATTATTATTATTATTATTATTCTTTAATTATAGATGTATGCAGTCAGAGACTATGACATCTACCTGAGAAATTTTAGTTCTCAGGGTTTTTCCTATATCTATAAAGTTAACTATTATACATTCATCAATTTCAGATATGTAAAATCAGAAAATTTCAGCTCAGAATATAAAAACTATTTACAAATTGCAGTGTCTTAACATCTTCTGATACTTTGAAATTATTTGACAATATCATGACAAAGGAAAAGAGAAATAGAACCCAGTCTTAGAGATAGACACATTAAATAGATAGATAGAAAGAAATTGAAAGAAAAAGATAAAGTAAAGAGAGACTGTAACAAAACAAATTATTAAAAGATAGTATATAGCTGTTTTTAACAGACTATATCTGATTGATTTCCTTCTCTTCATATTCAGATAATTCTGAATTTAGTCATTTTCTTGTAGCTGCTTGAGTTTCTGATAGAAAGTCTATTAAGTATTTAATTCCTGTCTCAGTTGAGAATAAGAATCTTATATTTAATTAATTTAGATCATACTTCTCTTTCAATCTGACTCGGAGACTATTGTATAATACACAGTGTATTACAATATACTCAGGATTCTCATTTGTATTGCAGAATGAGCATTCTATTGAGTCAAATCTATCATCAAATCTTTGTATATAAGATTTGAAATAGCCATGTCCTAGTTTCAGCTGTATTATAGATGAGAATATTTTCTTTTTACATTTAATTGAACAAGATTTTCACTTGGGTTTTGTTTCAAATCTTGAATAATGTATACTCTTCTTTTATTTCTGTCAGCTTTAATTTCACTTGTTTAAACAAGATTCTTTTATTTTTCTCTTTATAGAAGATCAGGACACAATTTTTTGAATAGATCTGCTTAATTCTGCACTCTTTTTTACAGCTGAATCAGCCAATTCATTATCATGAATATTCATATGAGCAGGAACTCAGTGCAAATGAATTATCAGCTTTGATATTCTTCTCTTTTGAATTTTCAAAACAGAGTTTAAGATCAGTTCAAGATTCATTTGATTATTATAAATCTGACTATTTCTAAGTCTTTTTAAAGCAGCTTGACTATCAGAGAATATTCATATCTCTTTCAAATTATTTCCTCTTTTATAAGATTTTATTTCTATGAGTTTGAAAGCTTTCACTATTGTAAATAGTTCAGCATCAAAGACTTCAGATTCACAGTCTAGATTTCAGAAATCTGAGATAAAATTGATATTATCTTCAGTATAAGCAATGCCTGCATCTAATCTATTCAGGTTCTCATTTTTTAAGTCATCTTAATAAATCAGAATAGAGTCTTTTATATTAATTGTAGAAATTCTCTTCAAATGCTGTTCATATTCTTTCTCTTTTAATAGTTTACTTATTTATAAGTCTATAAGAGATTCAAGCTTTTCTCTTTATGAAGATAACTTCTCATGATTCATCTTTTCAACATTTAAAGAAGAAAATTGATTTTTAATCAGAGAGTATAGTCTGTACAGTTGAGAAGACATTTTCTTTAAAGAATTATTTTCATTTCAATCAAGAAATCTATTTCAATCCAGTTCATTTCCAGAGTTAATTAATAGAAATGAAGAAGAGACTCTTTCTCTG